GCAGGAATATTTACTTAGTTGTCAGTTTATTAGGCACACCCAACTCAAACCAAGTCCGTCTAATCCAACAGTAAATCCTCCTTCACACAGGTGATAACGTTCAGTTAGTGTTCACACTACGGCAGAGAGGTGCTGACTCAGCATCACCCTGGAAGACATCCCCGCTGCTGAACTGTGTTATAGTGACAGGTGTTTGTCACTTTGTACAGCCCATTTAAATCGACGAGGCTAAACAACAGAACCAGCTCTTTGTACAACACAGCACAGACTGCAGCCTCCAGAACGACCATCGACTGTGAAACAGTCTGAACACAAGCTGAACATCAACACCTGCGTGAAGGAGGATTTACTGCAGGGCCACTGGGTTAGACAGACTGAGCGCAAAGGTCTAAGGTGAAGATGTGGTGTTAAAATCTGTGTTTAACAGTGGACCAGTGATACACGTGCAGCTTCGTCACATCTGTTTGTCATAAAAACAAAAAACAACATTATTACCTTTAATAGCAGTTTGCAGTAGGGGCCGTTGTGTGTCCGAAGGCCCACCCGTTTGTTTGCTGGTGTTCCCGCTGTCTCTCTGCCGAGCCACAGCTACAGCGATTCCAACCGGAGGGTGGCGCACCTCGCCCTCACCCTCCCGGCCGAAAGAGCGGGCGCTGTCCGGCCGCTCCTGCTCTCTCTTTAGCTGGGGGGGACCCCTCAATGCCCCTGAACCACCTGATCCCACAGATACTCTGTCCCTTTCTCTTTCCTTTTCCCTCTCCCTTTCAGCTTCCATCCCGATGTTACCCAGACCCCCAAAGGGTCCCCTGCCGTCCGCAGGGTGCCTGGAGGATCCAGGACCTTCAGCAGTGAAGTTTCCACTGTATTTAATCAGACTCTGCATAGCTGAAACCTCGGTGGGATCTGCTCCCCTACCCCGCTCTGCGCCACCGGCCCCTCCAGGCCGATAAAGTGCCGATGGGTCCAGGTAGCCCCTCTGACTCCCCTCCTCACATGCACGCCCGTGTCCATGTTGGGAGGGGTGTGTTTGGGGGGAGTGGCTGTGGGCAGAGTGCGGGTTATTGCTGGGCTGGTGAGCCGTGTTGGGGGAATGGGACATTTGTGTGTGTGTCGGCTGGCTGTGGGGAGAGGACAGTGTGTGTCTGTGTTGTGCTGCCAAAGCAGCCATGTGAGTCGTGGCATAGTTAGCCAATGGGCTGATGTTGTTCCACTTAGGCTCCGCCCCTGCCCGCTCTATCCCCAGTCGAACTGAGTGTTTAGAGAGGTCCCTGGTTTCTGGGCTGAACCTTGATTGACTGGAGTATGATGCGTCCTGGCCTCGTTTAGCAACAGAACCACTTGAACAAATGACAGAACCTTCCTCCCTTTGAATGCTTGAGTCACCAGACTTGGAGAGTCGGGGATGATCCATCGGGCTCCTGTAGCTCTCTCTCTCCCTGTCTCCGTCCCGTTCACGCTCTCTCTCTCTGTCTCGTTCCTTTTCTCTGTCCCTGTGTTTCTCGCCGTGTTTGTCACGGGCCTGTGAGGCGATCTGGATGGGCCCAGCCCGCTCGTCGTAAACCTCCACAGAAGGCACATATGTCGGTGCGCTGACCCTCTCTCTCATAGGCTCTCTGGGCGTGGAGGGATGGGGCGGACCAGCGACGGAGGGCTGGAGCGCAGGGGAAAGGACGTAAGAAATGTGGAGGGACCCGGCTGACGCGGCCACAGAGTCGTTCCTCCTCTGTCTGTCTGAGTGAAAGTTTGAGTTCGCGTTAGAGTTGTGGTTGTGTTGGGGTCGAGAGCCGCCCTCTTCATCTCCACTGCCTCTTTCTGTTTCTGGTCCACTGAATCTGCCTGCGCCCCTGCCTGTGGGGAAGGGGGGCCTGGATCTGGGCTGGTGGGGGTGAGGATGGACAGACCACCCGTCTCTGTCTCTCTCTGTGTCCCGGTCTTTCTCGTGTTCCCGATCCCCGCTCTTCGTCCTGCGGTCCTCCTCGCTTCGCCCGTCCTGCGTCAAGTCCACCACGCTGTACAGACGCTGCTCCTCTCTCAAACGCTCTCGCTCCCTGTCTCTCTCCCTCTCCCCCCGGTAAGACCGGTCCCTACCCCCATCCCTGGATGTCCTCTGAGGGGGCGTGGACCTGGACGGGGTGGTTGGGGGAGCAGCTGGGGGGTGGAGAGGCGACTGGCTCAAGGAGGCCGGCAGATAAAAACCCTCTAAAACACAGCAAACATAAAACACATGAGTCTAAGAACACAAAGCCGCTGCAGCACACAGAGAACACCTGCAGTACATCTGTAACAGCCACATCCAAGGAGCACAAGACGAAGTGGTCTCCATCACGGCAAGAGCTTAAAATAAGAATAAATGTCAAACACTAGTCCACCTGTCTGACAAATGTTCCCTATTTATGGCTGCAGGTTCGACCCAGCTCCACAACTACCTGCAGGTTTTCTCACTAAAATGAAAAGGTGCACCCCTCCTGCCACTGATTTAGAGCAGAATATGAGAGGATCTGTAAACTAAACTCAGCCACACATTTCTGTGATGGCAACTGACCTTTGTGGGAGTCGTAGAGGGGGTGCTGGGAGAGTGATGGAGGATCCAGGTGGCCCAGGGACAGGTAAGGACTGGAGTACAGGCTGCTTGGCAGAGGAGGGTAGCCTGAAATCACAGGAACACACAACGTGGCATAATTATACAAAATACATCAATGATATGAATATCATTAGAGCTGCAATAATCTGTCGACCAACAGGAAAACAAAAAAAAAAATCGCCAACTAATCTGATAACTGATTAATTATTTTAGTCTGTGTTTAAGTAAAAAATGCCAAAGAGTTGCTCTGGTTAGCTTCTTGAATTTGAGGGTTAGGTGCTGGACAAAGGGATCGTCTTTTGTTCCAGCATTTTTAAACATAACCAACAGATGAATCAAGAACGAAAATCCTCAGCCCTGCTTGCACAAATGATCATTACCACCGACACACACACACACACACACACACACAAAAACGAACGCTGCATTTCAGATCATTCAGATCTGCTGCTCTGTAAAATGCCAGGAAATAGTGAGAGCCCATGGTGACACATCTTGAAATGTTTTGTTGGACCAACAAGCCAAAACCATAGACATTCTGTTAACTGTCATAGAAAACAAAGAAAACCAGCACAGTCTCCCAGTTGAGAAGTGGGAACAAGTGACATTTTGTTTTTAATATTAAGTCATTGAATATTTATCGTCTCAGACAAGTCAAGATATTAGATCACACGTAAAGCAGACTTTAAATCATGTGAAACTTTTTACACAGACTTAACTGTTTAATCAAACAGTTGAGCGTCACCTGCACCGACTCGTTTACTCGTGAGGTCAGCTCAAGGTTGGTGTCGGGTAAGAATCTGCCCGAGGGCCAGCTGCTGCTCTCAGAGACCAGATCTTAATATAGACAAAGCCTCACACCGGGTGCAACGATCTAGTGTGTAGTGACCGAGCTGGCTGCGACTCCAACGCTGGCTGGTGTCACCGCGCTGGAACACAGGCTTAAAAAACCCCCAGAAAACCAAAAACAGTGCCACCCATGAGAAGGTGATGCATCCTGTTCTCATCACTGTGGACATTTTAGGACGTATCAAAGATGCCGCTGACGTTCCAACTGGTGTAAATCTGTCTCCTCCATCATGAGAGGCAGAAATGGAGAAGGCAGGGGAGGCGGGTGGTGGGGGTGTCCGTGGTTAGAGGAATGCACGGGGAGACAGAAATATAAGAGAAACGATGTGACGAGAGTAAAGGCATGCAGCTAGGTTTCCTGCAAAGCTCCCTCTAACCAAACAGCGAACCCTGATCTCTAACAACTTCGATACAAGGCTCTGTTCAGCTCCGGTGCATCCCAGGCGTATCAAAAGTCTGCCTCATAGCTGCTGCCTGGAAACAGCTCCAGCTGCTAGTAAAGCCAGTCACCAGGCTTTAAGAATCTCTCTTAGGCCATGACGGGCTCTACTCATATCAAAGGAAGCGGCATCTACAGCTGCTTTAACCAGCAGGAGGTTTTAGCTCCTTTAGTGTTAAGATACATCCACTCAGCCTTATACTGAGCCAAAGTAGGAAGGATACAATCAAACATATCAGATGGACCAGTGGTCGACCTGCGTGTTTAAAACCTTACTTCATAAAAGCTCTAATTATCATGTTATATCTGGTTCGCTTCATCCGTACAAAGCTGAAGTGTAGAACCAGAAAACCACTGCTTTACTCGTGGGTCAGCATCATCCCAGGTCCAGACAAAACCTAAAATAAAACCTAATCACACAATTTGATTTGCTGTGTTTAGAAAGCACAAGATCTGTCAATTGGTTTTCAAATGCATCCTCAATGAAATCCATTCGTCCTTTGTTTGGCCACAACGCTCCACAGGACATGTTTCCTCCTATCTGACCTTCTAACTCCAGTGAGATTTGATAAGGAGACACAAAAAGACACGAGGGAATGAGGAGCAATTCAATCACACACTGGACAGGCGCAAGAGAGGACAAACACACACAGAGATATACAGGTCAGGTGACAGATGCTGGAGAAAAGTGGGACAGGAGAGGTGGAGAGAGACAGACAGAGACAAAGTGCAAACTGGGCTGAAAGCTCCAAAAAAGAACAAGCGAGAGGAAGATAAATTACAGTTACATTACAGGTGAGAGTGAGAGAGTGGTGGAAGACAGAGGAGACGCATTTAGGACAGAGCCAGGAGCACAGAGACAGAAATGGAACAGCATCCCAGTGGTGTAAGCAATGAGGAAGAGAAGGGGAACAGGCCTCCGGGGTATTTCACAGGGGACAGAAAAGCAGGAGAGAAGCGGAGAGAGAAAGAAGCATGACTGTTTGTTGAGATGTGCAGATTTACCTTCATGAGCATGTGAAGCCCAGAGCTGAGCCATCTGCAGACCGCTGGGATTGGCTGACCTGTACGCAGGATCAGAGGTCAAGGGGGAAGGGCCGGGATACGCCGACAGGAAGGGACCGGAGCCTGCCGGGAAGGCATCGCCTAGGAGAGATAAGACCGTCATTCATTCTCGAAAGCACAAGAACCAAACTAACAGACCACAAAGACGACTGACTCATACGGCACACACTGTCGCCTCCCTGTGTGCGAGCACAGCCGATAACACACTGATGTTTCTGTGCTGAAGCAGCTTGTTGTAATCACATTATTAGTGAGGCACCGTGCACTCCGCTTCAACAAGGCCGACCACAGACAGACTGCACAGCAAAGGAAAGGACAGTTAATGTAACCAGCAACTAAAACCACAGCGCTCGCAGCAGGAGAGGAGCCGTGTATTGCTGACAGGGCAATGGGGAGGCGCCTCCACAGATGATTATCTGTTATTATTCTTCTATGGTTAATGATTTATGGTTATGGTTCTTTTACTGCTACATTACAGCCTTCTTAATGTTGACACTGGCTTGAACAAGATGTTGCTAACCTCGATGGAACTCACTCAGTTAAACAAAAAAGTCACGTGCTGTGTAGGGATTGTTACCCAGTCTGAGAAGAAGCCCCATTCCATTCCCAACACGTCTGTAAACGGCCAGTTTCTAGGGCCAGTAGGGATGAATGTTTATTCAAGTGTACTGGTCTGTAGGTGCCTCTTATTTAGTCGACACGAAGTCTCGTGTTTCCTGTCATGTGTGAAATAAAGTTAAGTAAAATCCTGCCCAACTGCTGGTGGTGAATGAGGCGCTTCGACGTCAGCACCCTGTGGATTTTCTTATCAGTTTGGTCTATGAAGAAAATTGCAAACATGCTGATTGCAACTTGCCCGGGCGACACCCTCGTGTGCAAACCCACTCAGATTACTTCATTAAGACAAACCAGCAAATAGTCTCATCTGAGAAACTCACAACACAACGTGATATTTCTCACTATTTGACCAAACCAATCAGCCTGATCAATTAATCAAGAGACTGTTTCAGCTCTACTCTGTACATTTGTCCAGCTTGAAAACAACATTTAAATCTGGTACTTGGTTTCATACATCAACCGATGAAGAGCAGAGCCGAGCTGCCGGTGGAAAAACAGAATCATTAAGCAAATCATACTGTGGCACGCGCCCGAGTATTGATCTGCTGTGCCTCAGTAAACTCACACACTCGCGTTTGAACAAGCTCCTTTATTTGGCAGTGGATTAATTTAGATTGATAATAACAGGAAAAGGAATGAGTTGTTGGTCTAATCCATAACATCAAAGCAAGTGGTTCGTAAGGTATGTGACATGGACTGAATTCAGTTTTTAAATACCGATGGTCTGACTTTGACTCAAACATGACCGACTCCTGTAGATGAGGCTGAGACGGGGAAGAGGTTCAGAGAGAAGAGGGTGAGACAGGTCAGACCTGCGTCTTAATACATGTTGAAATAAACATTTTTATGAAGTTTAATGTCTACATTTTTATCTTTACCAGTAGTTCAAATAGCACATTTCATTCACACAGCAGAAAAAAACTATGGTGGGCCTGTGGGACCCAGTAGAGCTCCATGTCTAGCAACGCCCCTGAAATCAATCATTTAAACAGCAAATAAAAATATTTCAGCAATGCAGGCAGAAAGAAGACAAGCGTAAAGAACAGATGTACAGGACAAACGTATAAGGTACAGAGCACTGAGGTTTGGGATTTAGTACCAGTGGATTTAACTATTTTCATGTATTGATTTTTCAGACACACTGAATAATAACAGTAACACTATGACTGATGGGAACAATCAGCTTTTTACATTCAACTTATTTCAGAAGCAGCTGGTTGGTAACAAATGATCCCTTCTACTGCATAGGCTGCATGTGCACGTCACACACTAACCCACACGATCAGTTATTGATCGTTTTTAATCAGACGCCGTCATCTGCACGTGTGCAATCTGCCCACGTCTAAACTTTGAACCTTTGAACTGCCTCTTCCAATCACAAGCTCCCGAGAGCAGGAAAAGGCCTCATGTTTAGTTGAGCCCCCCCCCTCCCATTACCGAACACACCGCACAGCCATCACCTTGATAAAACGAACTGTGTGTGTAAGGGAAAGGGTTCTGCCTGTGGACGATGGGGAAGGGGGTGTGTGTGTTTGTTAGTCCTGTGGGAACCACAGTCGTACTGTGCTTGCTGAGTTTCTCCTGCATCTAAATCAGTACATTAAACCTGCAGTCAGTCCACACACACACACACACAGCATTTTAAATCAATACCAACACGAGCTTCTCAGTAAACCACAAGCAAGAGGCACACACACCCACACACACACACACCCACACACACGAGTGCAGTGTGCCTTTATTTTCTGCTCTGAAGATTTCTATGTAGGTGGATCCTTCTACACCCAGTTCCTGTCAGACACATGCATTCAACTCCACGTACGCGTAGCTTAAGTAGCTGCTCTGCATCGTTCTACGATCACTGACGTGCAAACAGTTGTGTGCGTGTTTGCAGTGAGTGCCCTTCGAGTCAGACACACTGCAGGAACCACACACACACACACACACACACACACACAAGAACAAATACACACATGCAAAAGAAAAGCAAGCATAAACACATGCAAAGACACACACATGGAAACACGCCTTTATTAATTCGCACATGAACACAAACGTGCAAACATGTACAAACACACATACAAAGCCTGTGATCAGCCTTCAGTTAGTCTCAGTACATTAACTCTGCTGAAGAACACACCCCCTCATCCTGCTTGGACGAACACCATCGGGTGTTGTCTCATGGCACAATGCATTATTCATCACAGCAGAGACCTGTTCACACGCTGAAGTGAAGTGGGTCTTATCCACCTGTCTCACTGCCGTCATCTGCTGTGTCCCCTTTGTATGCATCTTTCAAATCATGTCATTTCCAAACTTAACAATTTTGGCAACAGTGAGGGGTTTAAAGCCGCAGCCAACAGCCCTGAGGTAGCTGCTTTGTCAGAAAGTCAACACAGGAGCAGCTGCTGGATCCGTCACAGTGCAGCCAAACAATCGGAGGCTGCTTAAGAGAGCTGATAAAATGTCTATTTGTTTCTAATGCACTGCACATTTCACATCCAGCCACTCCTGACGTTTCCACGTAAAGTATAACATGCAAAAAATACAAAGAACCCCGTTTTCCAGCCTTCACTGCCGTGTGCGTCTGTGTGCGCCAGCGATGTTGTTCTAACAAATTATTCTCAATTATACTTTTCATTTTCTAATGGTTACCTGCTGTGTGTGAGGAGCACGATGTAGGTGAACACACTCACACTCACACACAGGGGACATTCACAAGCAGCGCCCGTCAGCCACGATGAGGTCCCGCTCAGATGTCAGCGCTTTCCATTCCTCAAGGCCAAACGCCAGGTTCTGTCTAGCACATGAGCCGCAGGCTTCCCACTGGAGTACGGATCAATCTCAGCCGCCTACAGGCCCTTTATCCATGTGTGCACAGTTACGCTCTGTGCCAGCGATCAGGAAAAATCCCAAAGTCCCTTTTCCCCTTACTGAACAGCATGAGGGAGGAAAAACAGGGCGGACTGGAATGACGGGAAACATTTGCACTCTTTGTTCCAGAAACAACATCCAAATGGAGGCTGAGGGGGAAATGTTTCTTTAAATGTTTTCAAATTGGTCTTTCATTGCCTCCCTCTGTCCTTCTCTCAGCCCTTTTCATTCCTCCCTGTCTCTCTGTTAACAAATCCATCCTGCACACACACACACACACACACACACACACACACACACACACACACACACACAGCTTCCACTTCACAAGACAGTTTGCCATATTGGGACAAGCGGGCTGCCGAGAAACACGCTCTCTGACTTCCAACATGCTCTGAGCCTCCATTTTCAGAAACACATTTCAACATCAGAGGAGAAGGACTGTAGATCGGGTCTGATAGACACTGCTGCAAATTTCTCTCTCTCTCACACACACACACACACACACACACACACAGCGAAAATCAGTGCAATCAAACTCAACAACCAGAGTCTCAGGTGCAGATCAATCTAAGATGGACACAACAGAATCCAAACCCGCTGGAACACGTAGAAAAGCACAATAATGGAAGAGAAAAACCTCTGGTACAAATGTGTGACACACACACACACACACACACACACACACACAGTGTGTGAACCCATCTGGTCTCCATCACTGCTGTTCAGAGCTGGAAAACAGTGAAACAGTAAAACTCAGCACTGAAGCTGGAAACCATTAAGCCCTCACTCACAGAGGCGAAGGATGCGCTGGGATCCAGTCCACGTCTGATGACACATCTCCGTCTCTGTGCACGAGAGGATTGGCTCAGCATGTGCAGCATCTGGTTTACATTTCAAAATGTAAAAGTCTGGTTTTTCTGTTTTCAGTTGTTTAGAGGAAACAATTTTGTTTGTGCATTTGTGAAATCAAGCTGAACACAAGCGGTTTGTCGACCTCGCAAAGAAACGTCTCCATGACAAGTTCAAGTTACAACAGGTTTCACAAACGGCGCTGCAGTGAGGTAACATGGCGGGGCTCTTTCTTTTTCGCACTGTTCTGTTTGATAAATAAACTAAACATTTGCAAAATACAGAAAAATGATTCAAATCTGTTGTCACAGATCGATCACAATAATGAACAGAAAGCCCCAAAATAACATTTTTGTTTTTGCTATAACAAAAGCAAGAAAACGTTCCCTAGAAACCGTATGGTGATCTGTAATTTCTCTGAAGAAAAGTGTCATAGGAAGTGGTGTGTTAATATCAAGTGAAGAAGGTACCAGGAGGAACTGAGGGAAGGAAACAAAGCCTGGTAACTGTTCACATCTTGAGCTGTTAATAAACACAGCTTCAAGCACAAAATGGGAAAACGGACCATATACAAGCTTCACACTGCTGACGCTGGAACTGAGCAGCAAATAAATCCGACCACAGGACTGTATGACTGATGGGAAAGTGTGAATACATCTCCCCACACAGGTTTTTGTTATATGAAGTTGCAAACCTCTTGGCTGCAGAGGTAAAACTAGACAGCACGCAGAGAGCGC